CAGTTCCCCAATCCCTGAGCTTTCTTTTTTGTGCAAGCATTGAAGCTAGGTTGAACAATTAGGTTAGTTGAAGGTCTGGCTTCGGTCTTCTATTCCCTCTATTTAAACATGACTGATAACTCAGTCTTTCACACCAACCAATTCGCTCAATATGTCTTTCTCTTTCCTTATAATCTTCATTAATTGTGAGCATAAACTATGCCTTACAATCATACAATCTATCCTCTCAACTACCTAGTTTCAGAATGGATATCATCTTAACTACCCCTGATGCTAGGATACTTGACGACATTGATTAGAATGCTACTGTTGTAGGGCGTTTTGTTGGGGATTTTCCACCAAACCCAACACTCATCCAAGGCCGTCTTATAAATACCCAATGGATTAGAAGGGGTGCATGTAATACCCCGTATTTTTAAGACTTATTTTCTAATTAATTAATTAGTATCTTCTAAAAAGGGTATTTTAGTAATTTATTTTATTATTTGAATTTTGGAGCCAAAATGATATTTAAATTTTGGTGCCAAAAACATTTTAAAACATAATTATTATTTTTGGATTTTGGATAAGATTTATTATCTATTTATTTTATTTTAAAATCGGATTATATATATATTTTGGATATTTTAATTAAGCAAAAATTATATTTTCCTATTTATTTAAAAGGGCCAAAATTCCCTAATAATTAAGCTAGGATTTTTTGGACGGATTTTCTTAGTGAAGAAAATATGATTTTCTTAGTTAATTTAATTAGTGAATAATTTGTATTTTTCTAATTAATTATTTTATATAAAATATATTATTTACACAATCAATTTTATTTCTTAAAATCTTACAAAATAATTCTTATAGACCAATGAGGAGGTCCGAAAATATGAGCATACAAGGCTCAATATTTTCGGCCACCGCATGGTAATTTTGAGCAAATTATTTTGGTAATTCTTGTATTTTAATTATCTTCTTTAAATTCTATTATTTCCTTAATTCTTATTTTCCATCTCCAAAATATTTGATTATTTCTTAATCAAATTTTTAATTATTTGATTATTTCTTATTTTCCATCTCCTAAATATTTGATCATTTCTTATTTTCCAAATATTTGATTATTTCTTATTTTCCATCTCCCAAAGATTTGATCATCTTATATATTTACCATGAACCATTTTTTTACTAATCCCCAAGCAAAGCCACTTACCATTTAATATTTCATGACTACATACTTACCTTATTTCTTAATAGCTTAATCACCATAAAACTAAACTTTCCTTAATTCTTTAGCTCCTTTTTCCAAGTAATTCCTTTAACCAAATTTGCCATAATTCTTCCTACATTTTCTTACCTTAATTCTTGCATTAGCTAGCCTATAAATACCCCTTGAAACATAGCTAAAAACTCACACCAAAGCTCTCTGCTTTCTCTCTAATTTCTCTCTAATTCTCTTCTCTCTTTCTTTTATTTCTTGCACCAACCACCACCACAAATCACCACCTTCACTGTCAGCCACCACCTCCACCGCCGGCTGCCACCTTCTCCGACCAGCCCTGACGCCGACCACCAGCAGCAGGCGTGCTGCTACCCCTTGTCGAGCCTCTCCTTCATCATCTTCTTAGGTTTTCTATTTATTCTTCTCTTCTCCTAATTTTTTTTTATTATGGGGGTTTTATAAATATTATTATGAGATTTTTTAATTAAATAAAATCAATTTATTATTCAAGTTTGTGAAATGGGATTTTATAAGGTGCTTGTACATATAGTTGGGGGTTTTTATTTTAATTGTCATGGTTATCTGATGACCTTATATTGATTAAGGTTATATTTAATTGTAGGGTGTTTTTGACAAGAGTTCTTGAGATTCTTTGTATGTTTGCTAAGCGAGGATCAAGGTACGTTTAGGTGGCTAGATACCTTTGGAAGTGATTGATTTGAATAGCATGTTTTGTATAATTTTTATGATTAAATTAAATTGATTTGAATTATGAAATAAATTATGTTTGGAAGAATTGATTTTAATATATGTTTAATAAATAAATTTGAAGGATTGTTTTTAATATCATGTTTTGAATGATGGAATTATTTATCATATTTAAAAAGGTTTGATTTCTAAAGCATGTGGAATTTAATAAAAAGGAGTTTTGAGTTGATTTATTATAAAGGATTGAAATATTGATATAAAGAGGAATTATTGAAGTATTGAATTATTATTAAAAGCTTTACAAGAATGATTTCATTAATCCCACTATGCAGATTTGGTTGATAAGATTTTTGACTTTGTATGACCGAGTCTTTCCTGAAGGATAGCCTTTCAATACAAATATACTAGTTTAGGGGGTGTGCACACTTAGGAGAGGTATTGAGTTTGGAAAAGAGGAATTGATTTTTATCACTTAAATAATTATTATTCAAATTATTATTGAGTTATTGGAATTATTTTGAGAATCTTGGGAATTGGTTTTGAATTATGAGGTTTGAGTTATTGGAATTTTATGATTGGTTTTAAAAGCATGTTTGATTATATAATGAGTTTACTTATCTTGCACTTGAATGTACTTGGCATATTTTTCTAATTCGTATTTGTTTTGGTTTTGGTTCGACCTGTTAACCTTAATGGTAAGCAGTGTTGACTGTTTTCAGATGGAGTCAATAAATGAGCATTTGGGAGTCCCAAAATATTCTTAACCTAGTTTTAGGAATGTTGGTTTATTTCTATTTTGAGTACTCATAACAATGGTTACTATTTCTATTAAGTATTAATAAGGAAAGAGTTTGAGTTTCCGCTACGAAGTTGTGGTTTTAATCAGTAGTTTGAGTAGCCTTGCGTAATCACGCGGCAGTAATATGCCTACGTCTATCTCTACGGTATGATTATACGTATTATACTACTATTTCCGTAGAGAAATTTAGGGGTGTTACAAAGTGGTATCAGTTTTTTGGTCTGACAAAGATTAAAATAGGAAATAAATAAAAATTGTGGGTAGACTTAAGAGGGCATATAGGATAGAGTTTCGCATTTGTGTGTGAAAGTCAAAAGCATTATTTAAAAAAAAAAAAAACTATTTTCTTATTTGGAAAGATGATTGAGAAAAGGATTCTCGAGTTCTCTACAGAGGCCTATAATGGGTACGACTCTCTGTCTAGGTAAGATTCGCCTCGGCGCTTTAGGTAACTTACCTGGGAGACGCGGGCTCGACCGTCTAATATCATGATTTAAGTACACTATTATTATTTTCGAAAATAGAAAGAATTGAAACTATTTGAAAGCTTGAGTTTGTGTGATTGCTTGTGCATTAAAGTTGGTGTTACAACACCTTAGTCTATGGTCAAGAGGTCCTAAATTTTTCGGTTATTGCCCATAGTTGGGTGATTTTGAGTTATACTTGGTTGATTGAGTTATGAATTTCTTATGCAAATGGATTTTTGAATTGAATTGCTTATGTGAACTGGCATTGAATTGATTATTTTGTGTATGTGAAACAGATGGAAAGGATTGATGAAATAAGAAAGAACTTCTTTAACTTGAATTATTTGAAAGGTGATGGAGTCAGTGTTAGTGAGTTTGTGACTGGCATAGTCACTTTGGCCTTAATCCTTTATGAGCAATTGGAATCGGAAGTGTTTACCCAACCACCTTGGATGATTCTTTTAGCTTTAGCCCATTTTCCTAGAGTTATCAAATACAAACATCTCTTTGAAAAGTATGGGGATGTGATCAAAGAGAATGGAATGTGGAATGAAAGACATCATCATGAAGGAAAGTGGTTAGCAACCATGTCTAGCTTCAAGAGAGACTTGCACTATATTGAGCGTGACTATGAGCCTAGGAGGAGAATTGTGAGATTACCCAAACTTTTGAAGAATGCTATCTTGAAAGAACTTGACCAAATGTACCACTTGAATGCTCAACTACCCTTTCTATATCGAAGGCGTCGCAATGAATTTGAGTCTTCCATTGATGAGTCCATACCACCTCTTGGGAGGAGAAAGAATTACCCTTCTCCTTCACCTACTCCAAGCTATGAAACTTCTAAGCGTCCAAGTCTAAAAGCCCGTTATCGTATTGCCAAAAGGCCTATAAATCTTAACCGAGAAATTGATCCAAAGTCACCAAGTCCTGAATACCATCCATCTTCACCAAAAGTTCAACAAAAGCCCAATTCTTCTTCAAATCCAACTTGTGGTTGTGCTAGTCCACACAAAAGCCCAAACTATAGTCCAAATTCAAGTTCAAGCCATACTCCAAGTTACAGTGGCTATAATCCAACTTTCATGACTAACCCAAATGATAAGGGGAAGGCTAAGCAGGATGATCCTTACTATGATCCCAATGAGGATGACTATTCTGAGAGTGTTGCATGAATGATTGAACTATGCTATGTTTATTGCTTTCAATAATTGCCTTAGATGGAAAAGTTGTACTTTCAATTTGATTATTAATGAAATAAAGTTATTTTTATTGAATTTTTCTTATGTTATTGAGTGAATTAAATGCTTATATGAGTAGAACTTATTTTAATTTTCAAAGTATGGTACATATACCCAGGGATTATGTCTGAAAGAATGAGAAACCAAATGGGAAATAGGCGCACTGGTTCCAAAGTAGGGAAGGTCCTTAGGAAGTTAACCAATATCACTAAAAACATCACGAAAGTAGTGAACCAAGGGAACTGTCATTTTGACCTTGACTCTTACAGTGAAGTTTTTAAGAGAGTTGTTGCAGCCAAACCACCTGTTTACTTGGGAAAAGAGGACCCAGCCAGTCTTGGGAAAACTATATTAGGGAGTTTGACAAGTTGTTTGATGCTATTAATTGCCCAAGTGAGCTGAGGGTGAATAATGGAGTTTATTATCTAAGGGAGGAAGCTGACTTATGGTGGGCCCAAAGAAAGGATGAGTTGTTGAAGAAACTAAACTTTGGGTGGGATGAGTTTAAGGAAGCCTTGAGGGAGAAATTTTACCCTTCCTACCTGAGGAAGCAGAAGTGTATGGAGTTTACCAACCTGAGAATGGCGAACATGTCTATTAATGAATACTACAACAAGTTCATTGAGTTGATGAGGTTTGCCCCGGAAGTAGTTCCCACTAAAACCATCAAAGCTCAGAGATTTGAGCAAGGCCTGACCCTGACCCTTCAATGGAAGCTAGGGGGAGTAACTTTTCAGACCCTAGATGAAGTCTATGGCCGAGCAACCCACCTGTACGGGATCAAGGGGAGAGAGATGGAGCATTCTGGAGAAAAAAGGAAGAACCAAGACTCTTTTCACGGGGGTGAAAAGAGGCATAAGCCCAATGATAACCACCAAGGGAATTCTGGAGATATAAGGGACAACAAGGGGAACTTTGGGAAAGGGAATGGAGGCCAGTCGGCCAATGCTAGAGGGAATGGAAACCAGAGGGGTGAGAAGCCCAAGAGAAAGTATATCTGCAAGCGGTGTGAGAAAGACCACCTAGGGAAGGAACATGAAGGAAACCCAATGACTTTTCATTACTACCAGAAGTTAGGATACCATGAGTATCAGTGTTTCAAGAAAGAGGGTGACGTTAAGTCAAGAAAGGTGAAAGTGTCTAGTACTACTAGCAAACCACCACATCCTAATGGATCTGCCCCCAAGGTTGGAACTAGTAGCGTCGCGGGAGGTGCCCCAAAGGGTCGTGTGTTCGTGATGAACAGCCGTGAGGCTGAAACTTCTAATGATGTGGTAATTGGTATCTTCCTCATAAGTTCTTTGTCTGTGAAAGTTTTGTTTGATCGGGTGCATCCCATTTCTAAGATAGTAGTTGAAAGTCTTGGGTTAGTGAGTCCTGAGTTAGTTTCTGTAGAAGTGTCTATTCCGCCTAGGGAAGTGAGGAATTGTTCCAAGTTGTTTAGGAGTGTACCTCTTTCCATTTCTAGGGTAGAATTTCCGTCGGATTTGATCGAGTTTGATTTAAAGGATCTCGATGTGATTTTGGGTATGGATTGGTTGGGAAATTACGAAGCCAAGATTAATTGTGCAGCTAAAAAGGTTACTTTGAATAACCCAAGTAAAACTAGAGCGAGTGACAAGTGTCATTTATGACACATTTTAGGGTGGTTTTCTCCCTTTGTTTTAGGTTTATTTTAGTCTTTCTTGGTTATTTCTAATCCTTTTAGTATTTTTTTAGTTAATAAAGTCTTAGTTTATGTTTTTAGGCCTTAGTTATGAATAAAGCACTTTTTGCTCGGTTTCTAGCTTGATTTGCGTGCTATTCTATGTGATATTTCACTCTTTTCTATCTTGGTCTATTTGTCTAGGTACTTGGCACTTTCCTCGATGTTGATGACCCGAGAGAAAGTCGAAAAATTCATTAGAAGAAGCCTTGAAGCTAAAAAGAATCTAAGAAGCAGAGCATTTGTAGCGTCGAAGGCTATAACCGATGCCCGAGCAACCCTCCGCACAGCAAAGACCCTCGCACCAAGCAAGCCCAAGTAGCAGCCAGATCTTTCGTGGCGCGACAAGGTCCACCGTGGCACAGCAAGGTCCACTATGGCGCGACAGACCTGCCTGATGCGGTAAGGTCCATTGTGGCGCGGTAGCGTGGCATGTCCCACCACATGCGCAATACTTCATTTTAATTTCCAGGTTTTTCTTCGTTCCTAGAGATGGCACGGAGATGCCAATGAGAGGGCGCGATGGCACGGAGATGCCAAGGAGAGGGCGCGGCCCTGAGCCACCGCGGGCGCGGTTTTCTGGGTTTTCTTCGCACTTAATTTTCGGTTTTTCTCCTTTTAGTAGAATTTTACATTTTCTCTCTCCTCTAATTAGGATTAGGGTTAGATTAGAAGTTTTTCTCTCTAGTTTAGGAGTAGTTGTAGAGAGAAAAGGCTTGGGATTTCAATGGAGAATTGAGAGCTTGAAGAAGCAATTATGTGGATTTTCTTCTCAACTAATTAATGAGGATTTCTAACTTTCTCTCACCTTTATTACTCTCTTTAATTCTTGTTTTTGCTTAATTATTTGTTGATTAGAGTATATATTTGGTTTACTTGTCTGATTCTTGCTTTAATTCTTGTTTTACCTTGTTTTCCATGTTTTTCTTCACTATGATTGCTTAGATTTTGTTCTAGGGAAATGGATGAATGTTATGTTGATGAATTGAATGATTGATTGTGATTAGTATGCAATTGATTCTTGATTATTATGCATGGATGATGTTTACATTGCTTAGAGTCTTTTTAGCTAATTGATTCTAGGTTCCTAATTGTGCTTTCAATCAATTGTGTGAAAGTGAGTTGATTGAGAGTCTAGATTCTTCCATATCTATGCTAGGCTAGTTGCACGGGAGTGAATTGGCTTAGTAGGATAATTAGCATGCTTGATTGCGCGGGAGTGAGTTGAGTGTGTTGATTGTTCTAATTGAGATCGTGATTATCTAATTGCAATTTGTTGTTGTATTCATTAATGTAATTGGATTCCACTTTCCCTAGTATTTTGTTGATTGCTTAAAGTAGTGTTTTAGTTGTTCCTCTCTCTACCTCACATCTTTCCTACTAGTTTAATTAGCTCAAATTGGTACACTTAGTCCTTGTAGTTCGACTCCGAACTTGCCTCTATGCTTGCTTAGTGGTTAGTAAGGAATTTATAAATTTTGTTTGATATTAGGTGGTTAGTCAACGACATAACCCTCACCTACTTATCAGTGACTTATAGAAAGGAAGGGAAGAGTTCGGGATTGAGAATTATTTCTACAATGCAACTACATAAGTTTGTTAAGAAGGGTTATCCTCTGTTTTTGTGTAGTGCTCAAGAAGTTGGAGGTGAGGAAGAGAAGAGTAATGAAAGTATTCCGGTTATAGAAGAGTTTCCTGATGTATTCCCAGATAAGATTCCTGGTATGCCACCGGTGAGGGATGTTGAGTTTACCATCGACCTAGTGCCTGGTACTGGACCTATTTCTAAGGCTCCAGCTGAGATGAAAGAGTTGAAGACTCAGTTAGATGATTTGTTGGGGAAAGGTTATATGCGACCAAGTTCCTCACCTTGGGGAGCTCTAGTGTTGTTTGTAAGAAAAAAGGATGGAAGTATGAGATTGTGTATTGATTATCGAGAGTTGAATAAGGTGACAGTGAAGAATAAGTATCCATTACCAAGGATCGATATCCATTACCAAGGATCGATCATTTATTTGACCAACTGAAATGGGCTGGAGTGTTTTCGAAGATAGACTTGAGGTCAGGTTATCACCAGTTGAGGATTGTGGAGCAAGATATTCCAAAGAGTGCTTTCAGTACCCTTTATGGTCATGAGTTCACAGTTATGCCGTTTGGGTTGACCAATGCACCAGCAGTGTTCATGGATTGGATTTGATGCATAGGATTTTCAAGCCGTACTTGGTTAAGTTTTTAGTTGTGTTTATTGATGATATTTTGATGTATTCAAAGAATAAAGAGGAGCATAAGGAGCATTTGAGACAAGTACTATCATGTTTGATAGAGCACCAATTGTATACTAAGTTGTCAAAGTGTGAGTTTTGGTTTGAAAAAGTGGCATTTTTGGGTCATGTAATTTCCAAGGAAGGAGTTTCAGTTGATCCAACCAAGATTCGAGCTATTAGTGAATGTCAAACCCCAAAGAATGTGTTGGATGTAAGAAGTTTCTAGGGTTTAGCAGGCTATTACAGAAGGTCCGTGAAGGATTTCAAGGCCCATGACAAGTTTGATGAAAAAGGAGCATAAGTTTTCATGGACTCAAGAGTGAAAGGAGGTGTTTTTGAAAGAAAGGTTAACCACATCACCTATGCTGGCTTTTCCTGATGGAAGCGATCTATGTGAAATATATAGTGATGCATGGAAGTTTGGATTAGGGTGTGTTTTAATGCAGAGTCGAAGAGTGATTGCATATGCTTCAAGGCAGTTGAAACCACATGAGGTGAATTACCCAACCCATGATTTGGAGTTAGCTGCAATAATGTTTTCTTTGAAGATATGGAGGCATTATTTGTGTGGGGTGACTTATAGGATTTTCACGAATCACAAGAGTCTAAAGTATGTTTCACCCAAAGGAATTTGAATGGAAGACAAAGGAGATGGTTGGAATTTCTCAGTGATTACGAATTGGACATTCAATATCATGAAGGAAAAGCTAATGTTATGGCAGATGCTTTGAGCAGCAAGTCTAGACATTCGATGAATGTAATGGTAGTGCCAGATCAATTGTGTGTGTTGTTTCAGAAAATGGATTTGGAAGTGATAGAACATGGAGAAGTGACTAGGATGTTGAATGCATTGGTGATTCAACCATCCACTTATGATGAGATTAGGGAAAGTCAGAGGATGAGAAGTTGAAGGTAATAAAGAAAAAGATAGATGAAGGTCAGGTGTTGGATTTCACCATTGGTGATGAAGGGAGTATTCGTTTCAAAGGAAGATGGTGTGTGCCACAGAGTCGTGGAGATTTGAAGCATAGATTAAAGGAGGAAGCCCATAATTCTCCTTATTCAATGCATCCTGGAGGGGATAAGTTGTATAAGGATATGAAGAAGACATTTTGATGGCCCAATATGAAGAGAGACGTTTTGATGTAGGCCAAGTGTTTGACATGTCAGAAAGTGAAGATTGAGCATCATAGGCCTCAAGGAAAGGTCTAATCCTTGGAAGTGCCAAGATTGAAGTGGGATTCGGTTTCTATGGATTTTGTTGGGGCATTGCCTAAGACAAAGGCTAAGAGTGACACTATTTTTGTAATAGTGGACAGGTTGACGAAGTCAGCAGCATTTATACCCATAAGAAGTACTTGGACTATGGATCAGTTGGGGAAAGCTTATGTGAAGTTTGTGGTGAAGTACCATGGGGTACCCACGGATATAATTTCGGATAGAGATTCAAGATTCCTATCTAACTTTTAGCAAAGTTTGCAAAAGGCGATGGGAACGAAGTTGCTAATGAGCATAGTATTTCATCTTGCCACAGATGGTCAGACTGAGAGAACAATTCAGTCATTGGAAGATATGTTGAGAGCATGTGAGATGGAGTATCAAGGGTCTTGGGAAGACCACTTGGATTTGATTGAGTTTTCATACAACAACAGTTATCATGCAAGCATTGGAATGGCACCGTTTGAAGCCTTGTATGGTCAGAAGTGTAGAAGCCCAGTTTGTTGGAATGATATAAGTGAGACAATGGTACTTGGGCCTGAGATAATTGAGGATATGGTGAAACAAGTGAAGTTGCTCCAAGAGAAGATAATGGCAGCCCAAGATCGACAGAAAAGTTATGTTGATTAAAAAAGAAGGGATGATGAATATGAAGTGGGAGAGAAAGTGTTGTTTAAGATTTCACCCGTGAAAGGGGTAATGAGGTTCGGCAAGAAAGAAAAGCTAAGCCCAAAGTACATAGGGCCATATGAGATCATTCAGAAAGTGATAAAAAGTGGCATATAAGTTGGATTTGCCCAATGAGCTAGAAAAGGTTCACAATGTGTTCCATGTGAGTCAAATTTGAAAGTATGTACCTGATGTGACACATGTGTTATAACCTGAAACCATTGAGATGGATGAGAATTTGACCAATGAGAAAAGACCAATGAAGATTCTGGATACTAAAGTAAGAAGCACAAGAAACAAGGATTTGGGAATTGTGAAAATGTTATGGTCAAACCATAAAACTAAGGAGGCTACATGGGAAGCTGAGGCTGATATGAGGAAACATTACCTAGAACTATTTGACTAAGGTTAGTGGTCGAGTTATAGGGGTGTAACTTCTTTTAAGGGGGTAGAAGCGATAGAGTTTCGCGCGTTTGCATTTCGAGTCATTTTTGAGTGATTTTTGAGTCTCTCTTGAGTTAGTTGCACTCTTGATGTATGAACCAATAACTTAAAATGATATAAACCGATATTCGTATCTCATTAGGCTAAGTTTCGGGACGAAACTTCTTTTAAGGGGGGTAGACTGTAATACCCCGTATTTTTAAGACGTATTTTCTAATTAATTAGTATTTACTAAAAAGGGTATTTTAGTAATTTATTTTACTATTTGAATTTTGAAGCCAAAATGATATTTGAATTTCGGTGCCAAAAATATTTTAAAACTTAATTATTATTTTTGGATTTTAGATAAGATTTATTATCCATTTATTTTATTTTGAAACCAGATTATATATATATATATATATATTTCGGATATTTTAATTAAGCAAAAATTATATTTTCCTATTTATTTCAAAGGGCCAAAATTCCCCTAATAATTAAGCTAGGATTTTCGGATTTTTTAAGTGAAGAAAATCTGATTTTCTTTGTTAATTTAATTAGTGAATAATTGGTATTTTTCTAATTAATTAATTATTTTATATAAAATATTTATTTACACAATAATTTTTATTTCTTAAAATCTAGCAAAATAATTCTTAAAGACCAATGAGGAGGTCCGAAAATATGAGCATAAAAGGCTCAATATTTTCGGCCACCACATGGTAATTTTGAGCAAATGATTTTGGTAATTCTTGTATTTTAATTATCTTCCTTAAATTCTATTATCTCCTTAATTCTTATTTTCCATCTCCCAAATATTTGATCATCTTATTTATTTAACTTAAACCATTCTTGATTATTCCCCAAGCATATCCACTTACCATTTGATATTTCATGACTACATACTTACCTTATTTCTTAATTGCTTAATTGCTTAATCACTATAAAACTAAACTTTCCTTAATTCTTTAGCTCTCTTTTCCAAGTAATTCCTTAAACCAAATTTACCATAATTCTTCTTACATTTTCTTACCTTAATTCTTGCATGAGATAGCCTATAAATACCCCTTGAATCATAGCTAAAAACTCACACCAAAGCTCTCTTCTTTCTCTCTAATTTCTCTCAAATTCTCTTCTCTCTTTCTTTTATTTTTTGCGTTAACCACCACCACAAATCACCGTCAACCACCACCTCCACCGTCGGCTTCCACCTTCTCCGGCCAGCCCCGACGCTGACCATCAGTAGCAGCCACCTGCCGGCGTGTTGTTTCCCCTTGTCGAGCCTCTCCTTCCTTCTCTTCTTCAGTTTTCTATTTATTCTTCTCTTCACCTAATTAATTAATTTATTATTATTATTATTATTATTATAATTATTATTATTATTATTCTAGACAAATCAAACAGATCTGCGTAGGCTTTCCCAACTTCTCAAAAAGCCAAGTATTACTACCAACGGGAATGTCATACAAATCATATTGATATACCTACAATATTTTACAAAATAAGAAAAAATGTTTAGAGATTAGCTCCTTCACCCACCACAAGCAATCATAAAGTGGTATAATAACAAACCTCAGACACTATTGCCATGAATTCAAAAGTTGGACATTGTATAAAATTATTCACCATACGTAGCAAGCAATGAATGCCTACTATACCTCCACCAAACCAAACAACCTGTGCCTGCAGAACCCCAATAGGTATATGTATATCAGTTATAATAACTCGCATACAGTGCAAAGCATAAAAAAAAAAAATCACCTTTTCAAATGCTTCAGGAACGGAAGATTCCAATTCAAACAGGACATCTGAAACAAAAAAAAAACCTACCATATTGTTGTTCACATCATTAATGAACTTATATCAAGATGCAAAAGTATAAGTAATGGGAAAGGCTTCATTACTAACCCATGCAACTATTCGACTTAAAACAGACATAACTTCGGGGAGATCGACCTTCACGTGAAAACACAGGACAGGGCCATTAACTGGCACATATAAATTAAAAATTTTATAAATGTACTCAACAATAACAACTGCATTGACCATTTAAATGTTGCAAGAACATTAATGTCGGAAATGGCAGACCGTATAGTACAGAACTGTGGCGCTAAAAACCTGGACCTATGTTCCAAGTACTAGAATTGCAAGAACCAGAACACACATTGGACACATTACCCGAACTGCGCTTACGTCTTTTACCTTGAAATGGAAAAGAATTTGATGGCGCTCCCCGCCTCCGCTTCACTTTTTCTTTAGCACCGGGAGGCTTAACGAATTCATGGAGAGCACCCTAACATACAAACAGAATAAGTACTTCACAATTCAATAAACGCAAATATTACTAGGCAATGCATATAAGAAAATAATCTACCTCATGATCAACAGCTGGTCCTTTACTATCTCTAGCTTCTTTCGGGTGGGTCTTCCCGTACGCTACATCTAGGGTCTACCAACAAAACACATGCAACTTAACTTATTAGCATCGTCCAACCCCAAATGACTCCGTAACTCACAAACTATAATCAGCAAACATATATATCACTTACCCCCATATGACCATAATCACCTCCAACACCAAATCGATCCTCCTTTGTGGCAAGACTGATCTTATGTAGTTTCCACACCTTAATTCGTGGGAATTCACCCACTTAACTGGAAAACGGTTCAATTTGTCCAGATAAAAAACCTGCATCAAAACAACAATGTCATTACTATATTAAAAAAGGGCCATGATAGCATACATTTGCCGTTTTTAGGGCAAAACAAATACGCACCACTGCAAATATGGTACATCCACCACAACCCCCTGCAACCACGGTTGAATAAAATCGACGAGCAAAACTATTAACACTATCCATCAACTTATTCAAAACTAAATCACACCAATTGTACGAGGCAGCATTGACAGCACAAGTAAGCGCGGGAATCAAATCAGAAGCCAACCTTGGTGCTTGGGTAGGACATAACACCATTTCTAGTGACAACAATAAGAACAACATCTTAAACTCCTCCTCTTCATGTGCCTCCCAATGACCCTCCACCCTTTCCATCAATTTGGAATTAACAGGAATGCCCATAGAGGTATATACCCGACCAGCATATTTACGCGACTTTGTCCTAGAGGGTTGACCATATTTTTGCTGAATCGTATTCACCTTTTCTTGCAACTTAATTGACAGCGATTTACCGGTTGGATATGCAGCTCCAGAATTCATAGCAATTGATATTTGATATGCAGCTCCATAAATACATTTTAGATACAATTTTAAGTTTTCCACATCAACACATGGCTACTTCAGTCTGGCACATATCCAATTGAATTCGAAAACAACAATTCAGTAATAACAAATCACAAACACATATCCAATTGAATTCGAAAACAACAATTCAGTAATAACAAATCACCAAAATTTATATCAATTAATGAATATACCACAAACATCAATTTCCTTACCTCAATCGTAGCAACTCAATTGTTGTAGCTCAATCGCAAATCCACATTAGCTATATCGGCATTGCTAGCCCAAAATTGCTCGCACCTTCAACAACAAATAAGTAGGCTTCCCTCTGGTTTTGCAAGTGCCCCTTAATCGGATGTTCGGTTTGCAATGAATTCTCCCTCAATTCTCTCACTAACATGTGCAGCAATTCACTCTCTTCATATAAAGATCCTAGGGTTTCGTTTAACAGCTGTTTGGAACACTGTTAGTCATACAATTGACTAGATACTAACGACTTAAATCCGTGAAATACCAAGTTGTTGCAAAAAGACATTTTTAACCCCAAGATAAACAAAATACGTTTCTCCCAGAGATAATTAATAATATTTTAGAAAATAAAAGAAATAATATTGCTCACGCGTGTGTCTCCTAGCTTATACTTCGTATATAATTAAAAGGAAAAAAAAATGTTCCAAAAAAACTAAGGGGCTGCGGGAGTGGTGAACTTGTGCCGGAGCAGCTATCAACTTCAACTCGAATTTGACCAGACACCTTCTTCGTGGCCTTCCAATTACGCCAACAACTTTATACAAAATAAAAGTAAACTCTTTTTATTTTTTCGGTTATACTAATCAAAACCAAAATCTCCTTAAATTCCCATTTTTTCCTCTATCATCTAATCTTGATCTCTCTCTCCAACATATTTTTTCCTACCGTACAATTTTTTGGTATTCTTATTGTTACTCCATTATCCAATCTATTTTGTGATTTTTAAGAGAGTATAAATAGCAAAATAAAAAAAATAAAAAAGTTTTTCCTGAAGATCCGGTTGAATTAAGTACATATTTTCTTTTTGGACCGATTTATAATTGTAATTGCAATCGCAAAGCCCTTTTATTACAAATCATCTGTTATATCTGGGTTTTTAATCCTTCTTCCTAATGTTGACGTTTTAGCTTCAGGTAATATGTTTCTTCAGCTTGATCTTTCATTTCCATTTAGTAGGAATATTCGAATTTTCTCAGTAAATGAATAATGGCTTCTTATTAATTGTCTTTTCCTTTCTTTTCTTTTCTTTTCTTTTATTATCTGGGGTTGTTATATTTCTGTATTAAAACCCAATCGTTTTTTTAATAGACGTTGGGGTCTGAAATTTCTCTACTGAATCAAATGGCTGCAAATCTGCAATTATGTTTAGGTTGTAAGAATAATACATATACTGAAGTAATTAGCTTCATATTTGTTTGTTTAAAGGAATTGCATTGCTTAACTTGATGTTGGGTTTTAGAATTATTTGAAATTAGCTGCATCTCAATTGGATTTTAATTTCTTTGTTTTTTGATCGAGATTTCTAAGCTTGTTTCCTTAATTTCATGCTCAATGTGGATAAATTTACCCATATTATAGTGATTGCGGCGATTTTTGGTACTCATCTTTGGGTTATGGTACTGCTATTTTGGTGTCAAGCTGTGACATTTTTTAAAAGTTTAGGTTTTGGTAGCAATAAGCTGGTGATGTTCTCTGCTCTTGAATTCCGAGAGTTTGTGATCATCATATAAGTCTTTGAAAATTTTGTCTGTGTGCCGAAACAGCTTCATGGTCTTTTAAGGGTAATGATGCATTTATATTGACCTCAATAGGCTGTTTATGGATGTGGTTGACTGGTAGGTTGGTGGTGTTGTTCTTGTTATTGATCTTGAGCTTCTCTTGATACCTGCTTTCTATAGCTTTTGGATTTTTGCTCGGGAGAGACTTATGGCTAATGGCCTAGGGATTGATGGACAGGTATAAATGCGAAGATGTCCGTGAATATTTGATGATGGACTCGGCCTTGTTCATAACCTTTGAAGGAATTATTGGCTTTAAGACTCTGCAACTTCAGGAAGACTGTATATTTGATTAAGTTTACATAAGGGATCTTTGGACAACATGGGAGAGTGGGTTATTGGAGCCTTCATTAATCTTTTTGGAAGTATTGCTATAAACTTTGGAACTAACCTTCTCAAGTTAGGTCATACAGAGGTATGTTAATTATGTTTGTTTTTATATAGTCGTTTTTCATCATTCATGGTCCAAAAGTTCTGTAAGCTTAGCATGAAAACTTAAGTTAGAATTATTAAGTTATATAAAAAAAAAAAAAAAATTATGAACTCAAATGTAGCACTTTTGTAGTTGTTCTACTTTTACTTGTAGGTTTGCTAATGCACAACTTTAACCAATAATATTTTTAAGGAAAAATTGACATGATTAATCCCAACTTTGCCTCGTTCGCCAATATTAATCCCAATTTTGAATTATTTTTTTATTAATCTGAACTTTATACTCCATCCGCCCATAACACTCCCAACCAGTCATCCAACCTAATATTACAAGTTACAAGACACTTGTCAGCGTATGATTGGTTTTAAAAAAAATTAAAAAATATATAAAAATAAATAAAAATTAAAAATTAAACAAAAAAAACAAAGCAAAAAATAACCAAAACTACCCACATCCAGCCCGCTGCCACCCACGGCCAGCCAACCCTTCTTCCCCTACCCTGGTGCTGCTGCACAAATTTCGACCACCCTCCCCTGCTCCACCTTTACTCTCCAAACTGCCGTTGCTGCTCACCAATTCCTTCTCGATGCCGCACAAATTCCAGCCATCAAATCAGCAATATCGGCCACCAAATACACCAATTTATCATATTGGGAGGTGCGGATGGATCGCGACGGTAGGGGAGGGTAGGAAGAAGGGGAAGCGACGGTGAGGGAGGAAGAAGGGGAAGCGGCGGTGAGGGAGGAAGAAGGGGAAGCAGCGGGGTAAGGGTTTAGGGAGGGGTTGGGGGATTGCGCTGGTCGGAGAAGGAGGATGTTTCCGTCGCCGGGAGATATCGCTGATGGTTGCCGCAGTCAGGGGGAGGGAGGAGGTGGCTGTGCGGTAGGGGTGAAGGAGGTTTTGCTTTTTTTTTGTTTTTATTTTTTTTGTCCAATTACATGCTAACATGTGTATATTAAACTAAAAAAAAAAATTACCTGCTCAACAAGTCACCCGTCACCCGCCACCTGTGAGTGTTATGAGCGGAAGGAGTATAAAGTTCGGATTTATAAAAAATAATCCAAACTTGGGATTAATATTGGCAGATGAAGCAAAGTTGGGATTAATCATGGCAATTTTTCCTATTTTTTATTACTTAAAAGCATATTTTGAAAATATATATTGTGACAAATCAAATGATAGTGTACATGATATTTGTTTTCCTCCTTATTAGCAAAAACTATGGTTAAAGTGAGTTTTGTGAATAGTGTACAAAGTCAAAGTGAAAGAACTGATGCAAAACAGAGGGAGATCATTATTGTATCCATCATATTTTATAAATTTCCTAGGTAAAGGTTGCTGTAAGTTTTGTTGGTGTGTGCCTAGGTAAAGGTTTCTGTAAATTTGAGGTGGTGTGGTGAGAGATACAACTTGGGCTTAAAGTTACTAACAATTCTAAACATATTCTTTGGCTAGTCATAGTTGATAGTCTCAACTGGTTAATTAAATGAATAAAATTTCCTCTTCCAACCCTCTATTATTTAATTAATTTTTGGCATGCAATGTTGTATCTGCTGGTTTTGTGCCTTGTTACATCTGTTGCCATTCTCGATGTGGAATGGGTTAGTCTCTTTGAGGCTGAGAAAACTTTCTCTTGCTAAGACACATGTAACATAGTTCAAACATATAGCTTTATCTTGCGTATATGGTAGCACTGGTACGAAGAGTGGAAGAGTGGGATCATGGAGAGCTTAAATGAGGTAGAGGGAGACCGAAAATGACTTGGTTGGAAGGAGTTAGGAAGGATATGAAGCAAATGGATTTGCATGAGAATGAGGTATTTGATTGTAAGGGATGGAGGAGGAAGATTTTTGTGGATGACTATACGGAATAATCACCTTTGATTCATATAGCCGACCTCACTTATGGGATTAAGGCTTTGATTGATTGATTGAAATATAGCAATAATAACTTCTTAAAGAAATTTATTCTGGAAAGGGGGAGTACTTTTAAGGCCTATGGTTTGGCAAGATATCTTATGGTGTCTGGATAAAAGCAACTGTTTACTTGAGCATGCATAATGAGATGATCCAGAAGGTGTTTAATAATACTTGAGCATGCATTATGAGATGATCTGGAAGGTGTTTAATAATATAATCAAGTTTGTTGGGATTGATTGAAACCTTTTGCAACATTAGTTTCTATTACCTTTTCACAGCATGTTTCGATGATCATTTACGAGCTTAAATGAATGTATGCAGAGAGAGAGGTTTTTGCTAGAGAATAAAGACACTAGTGGGAAGGCTTTATTGAAGCCCGTCTCTCACTTTCAGACGTGGAGAGTTGGTATGATATCTCTGCATCTCTTTTATTTTAATATCCAAGGTATTTCTTCTTATAATGTGATCTTTTAAACAAATGTGCAGGCATTCTATTTTTTGCTTTTGGAAACTGTCTCAATTTTTTCTCATTTGGATATGCTGCTCAGGTTAGTTAGCTTGATAAGCAGATGGATCCTAGTTACACACTTATACTAATTAAATGACAAGTAAATAATTACTGCTACGTATATAATGCAAATAATTGGCTTCCACTTCATGTTCTCATATTACCCTAGCTAATTTTGTTATTTTAGCGATTCTCTCTTTCCCCACCCTGATTTTTTTTTTTCATATTTCTTTGTCTTTGACAGTCACTTCTTGCAGCTCTAGGATCTGTTCAGTTTGTCTCAAACATCGCGTTTTCATTCTTCGTTTTGAACAAAAAGATTTCAGTAAAGTAAGCTTATCTTAATTGGAGATTGTCGCCATCAGATGCATTATTTCAGCTTACCAGCTTTATTTTTCTGTTTTGCACTTCTGCAGGGTATTGGTAGCCACAACTTTTATTGTTCTAGGAAATGTTTTCCTTGTTGCCTTTGGCAATCACCAGTCACCTGGTACGTCTCAGCTTAGTTTCAAGGAATGCAATCCTTTTGGCTGATCTGTAAAATCAAGTCTTTGAAGTATTTTTGTTGTTGATTGTCAACAGTAACGGACTATTCAGTTAATTAGAATCTTTATCTATTTGTTTTGCATTTAGGTTGACTGTGTGTTGTATGCCTACTACCTAATTACCACCTCTTTTTGAAATTGATATAAGCTTTATTAGATCCTTGCATAGAAGTCTTTAAAATATTTATTCTTGGACAATTTGCTGTGAAAAGAATTATAAATTAAAGCAGGTTTCTCTTCATTTATGTGGTGTTTGAGGCTCCCTGTATTCTAACCAGCTTGACTGTGACCAGGGTGGCAGAGTATGGTTAATATCTCTATACCCATATACAGTGGGTTTGATGATATTATTTCCTTCTTTAGTATAGATTGGTGCAAGTTGTGTTTCTTTGATAATCAATTAATGACTAATAAGGGAACAGGAATTTATTCTTTTTTTTTTGCTTGTCCTTTCTCTTGATAAGATTGTGTTTAGCCTTTATATCTTGACAGGAATCATGTTGTAAATTGTGTTGTAACTTTTAAATGTAGGTGATCAGATAAGAACTTATTAGCTGTCTTGGGTTTGTTAAAACTAGAAAGATTGTAAATAGCGGAGAAGGTAAGCCAGGACATGGACTGTATGCTTAAGCTGAGCTGTGGATCAAACTAAAATGTCCAAGTCTGCTGTATATATCTCACAAACATCATTTTAGTATAGCATAAATACGATTTAAGATGATGCAATTTGTGCTGGATGTATCTGGATTTGCTAGTCTAATGCTTCTCTGTTCGTCACTGTTGTCAGTGGTTGACTCTGTTGATTTAATGAACGAGCTTCTCCATGCAATTGTTTATGCTCAAATGGTCTTTGATTCATGTTGCTTGTTTCAGTGTATACACCAGAGGAGTTGGCAGAGAAGTATAGCAACATAACGTTCCTGCTATACTGCTTGACTTTGATAATTGTTGTCGCCTTTCATCACTATCTCTACAGGTCAGCTCACTGAATCTCACGATGAGCATGTATTTTTTTAGAGCATGTATTAACTTCTTTCTAATTTGAATAGTAACTGGCAAGACTTTTCTGCCATCCTATTTTAATGGAGTTTTATCTGGATTTGCAGAAAAGGAGAAATACTTGCAACTTCTGGGCATCAAATCAAAGCCTATTGGCAAATGCTGCTTCCTTTTTCCTATGCAGTTGTTTCAGGCGCAGTAGGATCTTGTTCTGTGCTGTTCGCTAAGTCTCTGTATGATTTTTTTGCAACTTTGATCTCCTTTATTTATTTGATGATGGTTGACAAATATGGTACTGAGATGGTTTGATTTCTTTGCTTTGGCAGCTCTAATCTTTTAAGATTGGCCATGTCCAGTAACTATCACTTGCATAGTTGGTTCACATACTCCATGCTTCTGCTGTTTCTGAGCACAGCTGGTTTCTGGGTAAGGATTATAGAAACCCCCCTCCCAATGCAATAATAGCAATATTTCAGTATGCTGTGTTGTCTTCCTGCCTCAGTCCTGATAAGGTCTGTTATACCGTTCCAGATGGCTAGGTTGAATGATGGACTGGCCTTCTTTGATGCAATTGTCATAGTTCCCATGTTCCAGATTGCATGGACTTTTTTCTCTATTTGTACCGGATTTGTTTACTTTCAGGAATATCAGGTGCTTTTCTCTCTCCTGTCACTTTCTTCATTTCTTATTAGACATCTGATCCTTTTGTTTTCATATCCCCTCTCTTTTTCTCTCTCTTTGCTCTCCCTCTCCCATGGGGTGGATGTTGAAAAGACATTTTGTTACTTAATAGCTATTTACAAGTTCAGATAGATAATTTATTATATTGTCTTGAACAGGTCTTCAATACACTACGGACGACAATGTTTATTCTGGGCATGATGTCTGTGTTCGTAGGCATTACTTTGCTTGCACCAGATGAGGTTAAAGGTATGCTTATTGGTTGTGGGTTACTATTTTATTTGAAGTTTGTAATATAGAGCCTAGGCTTTAATCATGTTTGGCTTGAACATTGAATATTATTAGGTGGTGAAGTCAAAGATGGTTCCTTGGATGCTATAACTTCTCCAAGTGTTGCAAATGATGAGGAAAGGTAAACAAAATGATTCAACTTTGCTGGTCCTGTATGCAGGGCTACTTTGATCTGATTACAAGGGCTGTCACTTTTCTGCTTTCCATCATTTGGAGTTTTTGAACTGTCTGCTAGTCGTTTTGTTTACTAATTTGGGGGTATAAACTCATGCTTTTGACTGGCATCAGGTTGTTGGTTACATCACTGGAGGATACTCAAAGCAAAGAGGTGAAGCCATTTTTACGAATTATGTTAACCAAGGCTGTAGATGTCATGCTCAAAGCAAAGGTGCGCTTTTGACTTCCTTTCTAAAGTTGACCTTTCTTATGTAAATTTATAATTTGAATAAGTACTACTTTTTTTTTTTGAATAAGTATTACTCAAATCACTGTAATTAGTCTTAGTTAATATTTTTATTACTACGTTTTAATAATGACTATACTTCTATGGTCCTGCCTTGCAACAAAAAATTAACTGCTTTTTTCCTTGCAGACTACTTGCTTATTAGCATTAGGAATGGGAGAAAATTCGATGAATGCGTCTTCTGTTTTTGTGATGCCTATGCTATCATCAAAGCTAACTGGATTTAGAGGCGGCAGTACTGCTGACAGGGCCAAGTTTTTCCCGATGAGAGGTACTGGTTGGGATAAGATCCCAATGGACGAGGACAAACTGCTGGAGACAAGCTCACTGGTCTCGCAGAGTCTTTGATAGGATTAGTTTGTGTAAGTCCCCAAGAATATTTTACACTATTTTTCTGGTGTCACACTTGACACCCGCTCATTGTTAAAATCTGTAGGTCACTTGAGTGGTGTATAAATATATTTTCCTTCCGAGTTTGTTGTAGCCTGAAGTCGAAATGTATTTTAAAGTTGTACATACTCAGTTCCTGGAAACACGAGATTCGTTGTAATATATTTTTTCAAGTAAATATGTCATAGAAATTGATGTATTAATTTTCGAAGTAAATGTATCCAAATTTCTCAGCAATCACCTCCAACTGCATATCGTGAAGTCTTTGTTGACTGGCAAATTTTCTTGTTCTGGGCTTCTGGCGGCTTTTGAACGCTAACTCTCTAAATTGAAAGTTGTCGACTTTACTTTTACTTTTATGATCAGTTTGTCATAAATGTTCATACAAATCTGGATTGTTCAGTGTTAACTTTTTCATTACACGTCTATCTCATTAAGGAAAACATATCAAATGGAAGGAAGAAAAAGTAAACCTAACAACTTTGAATGAATATAAGAAGATAAGTAAACTCTTTTAAGACTTTACAATTCAAGTTTTTCTGAGGATGTGGTTGTGGACTTGTGATTGCAGAGCAGGGTCATTGCTCCATCTTCTGAACTGCCATTACTTCCAGTCTTTCTGTTGCAACATGGCCATGCAAATGCCTAGAGCTGTTAATTGAGAAATGAAGCTTTTGAAACCGACTTGAATCGATAATTTCCAATACGAGTTTAATCAATAAATAAGCCATTGTGCAACCTCAAAATTTACACATCTTTTGTACACTTTCATCGTTCAAAATATTAGTTTTGATCAATCAAATTCTTTTCTCATGTTTTTCATATTCACCTTTAATCAATCAAACTCAACTTCATTATACAGATTTTTTATTACTTTTTAAATACAAGCACTGACAAACAAATGAAATTTACAGAGGAAAAAAAAAAATTAGCATCCAGAACTAGCAAGACACGCTGGCTTAATTCTTAGAAGGGTCTTCGATATTTCCTATTTTCTGCCAATTTCGTAATTCAATTTCCAAGATGCATCTTTAACACCTTAACTCATCAAATTTGTCTAAGTCTGATTTTTCATAAACGTGTCATTCACCCTGAAAATGACCGTTGGAAAGTAGATCATCATAAACTTTACAAGAACAAACACAAATCATGAACTGATAAACCAACCAAACTTCCTCTTTTCATCTAGAAAAATCTCAAATAATTATAATAACTTAGAGTTTAAAAAACCCCAAAAACAAAACCCAGAAAACAAAACTATAAAATGGAATTGGAAATCAAAGTAATGTGGTGTAAAGGTTTATCATCATTCAATTTCTTCCAAAAACTAACAGTTTATGCAGCTGTTTCAATAACCTCTGAAAATGAGAAGCTACTACTCACCCAAGACCAAAAACAGGAACAAAAAACCATTGTTGATGAAGATAATGGGGATGGTAATCCAGAATGGAATCATTCCATGAAGTTCGATTTACGTCCTTTGAAATCGTTCATCCCTAATTTTGAAGATTTGTGTCTTCTATTCGAGCTGCGAAATCACGGGCAGTTGTTTGGGGATAAAACTATTGGAGAGGTTCGTGTTCCGTTGACGGAATTGATTCAATCTGTTGGAGGTGAGATTGTCAGATTTGTTAGTTATGAGGTGCGTAGTCCTGAAGGTAAACATAATGGTATTCTTGATTTTTCTTATAAGGTTATTGGTAATAATAATAATTATACTAGTAATATTAGTTCAATTCATAATATTACTGGATACAACCATTATCATCATGGTCATGAACAAGAACATGAAAGTCAAGGACATGGTACAAATTCGGATACTCATGTCATAGAACATCATCACCATCACCATCATCATCATTCGCAATTGGATGGTAATACAAATTCAGATAATGGATATCATCATCATTCGCAATTGGATGGTAATAATACAATTTCAGATACTCATGTCATAGGACATCATCATCATTCGCAATTGGATGGTAATGCAACACATGATATAAATTCAGATACTCATGTCATGGGGTACCAACATCATCATCATTCGCAATTGGGTGGATCTGCTTCAGAAGTGATTCAGTACCCAAAGATTGATTTGGAGGAACATTCAGTTCCGCCGTTGGTTTATCCTCCTCCCTCGTCATCATCATCATTTACAGCAGATTCTGCCCATTATCCTCCTGCTCCTGCTTTATACCCTCCGCCACCACCACAAACGTGGGCCGATACTCCACCGCGAATGTCCCATTATCCGCCACCACAGCCTTATGTTTATCCGCCACCGCCGCGACCTCCACCGCAACAGCAACCCTATGGGGTCCCACACTGGGGGTATCAAAGGCCACCTGACTATCATCATTGGTAAACATAGTAGTCAAAGTAATATCAAAAAGTACTTGATCGAACAGCAAGTTTATGAATTATTTTTGTACTTTAATGTTAGATTCCAAATATTTTTCTTTTCTTATTTTATGTGATTGATTTCATATAAGACTAACATTATAAAATGAGGGGAGTATTAATTAAGTTTATCACAATTTTGTAAGCCCTTACACATTGTAAAACTCATGTAATAGAAGAAATTGACTATAATTAACAGGTGAAACTCTTTGGATGCACTTTTTATAAAACAGGCAACAGGCAGCCAACATGCGCATCGCGCCTTGCCCTTTCTTGTTTTTATTGGGTTGTGTTTTATCTGTTTAAGACGTTGGTTTTTTTGGGATAATAATTTTGTAAGTTAATGGATTGTGTGATGCTGTTTTGTGAAGGACGTTGTAATAAGTTCTCTGTATCAATGGTATAATATATGACAACAAAAATTATAATTTAAAGCTGCAATGAGGTGGTATAGTGACCATCATATTGGAGTGGTGCAATGAGCTTAACATTGAGCTTACAAAAGGTGTTGCTGTATATAATGATTTGTAAAAAGTGTCGTTTTAGGACACATGCTTTGATTTTTTTTAGCCAGTACTAAATAAGTTTAAATATATAGCTAAGGAAAAGGTGCTTTTAAGGACACACAGTTGGTTTTTGTTTTTGGTTAGCCTTTGCGTGTTTAGTCGAAGGAAATGTCATTGAGAGCCCGTTTGAGGACCCGGATTCTGGTGAGAGAAGTTGTTAGTGCAATTTGGATATGTATGGCCTTGGTCCCCAAGTTGGTAGCTATTTCTTCAAATTTCGGCCAATCACCCTGTCCAATAATGCAGATAATGTGTTAGTTGAGTATTAATTTCATGATTTGATTATTTCATCTGTTGTTTCTCTTTGGGCAGATGGTCATCTATTGTGTAAAAGAAGGCGATATATAGACGCTACATGACATTTATTAAGTTGTTGGTTCTTTAGTATATATTATAGAAATTGTTGCCCTTTTTTTTTGTTTTTTTTTTTCCTGTTCTTACTGCCGTTTTCTTCTCATATATCTCTGGAGTAGGGAGACCAATGGGCTTTTTGTAGTCTTTAACAAAAGCAGTGAGTCTTAGAGTCCCAGTGGCGTCAGTTACATCGATTGTGAAATTAACCCTGTGTTTAAAGGGACATTAGTATTTTGATAATAGTAGTTATGGAATAGGTTTGATTAAAATAGAGTCTAACCTGACTGTAGCAATACCTTTGTTTTTTGAGCAATGTAGGCATCTGAAAGATGTGTCCCTAGCTTCTTGACAACGCTTTCCACACTTGTTACATCCTAGGTAAGCAATCAGGTTAGCCAACTCAACATTAGGGATAGTGGCTTGTATCCAATGACGTTCTTCTTGCATTGTGTTTCCAGCCTACAAGGTTAAAAAATCCAGCAATTATTGGTTAATAGATAAGGATTGGTTATCTATGGGTATGGGGGGATGTTATTACATTTTTCTGCTCAATTTCGCTGATAGTTTTGACTGCTAATGTTCTTGATGGTGTTCTGATCAATGTCCAGTATCTTTGTAGCCTAGTCAAGAAGCATTGCTTGTTTTTCTTTCATCCTAGGAGGTAAAAAACGACAAATTAGTACAGATGATTAGCATTACATAATGTAAGTGTAGTGTGAATTTCATTGCTTACCATGTTCGAAGAGCATGTGCTTCCTCCCCAGTATGATCTGAGATGATAGTAGTTGACATTGAGCTTGCAAGGGAGAACACTACATGTTTAAATGTTGGGAATTATGCATTGTATTAAGGTATGGTATAGATTTGAGGAAGAAATCATATATCAATCGATCAAAGCCTTAATTCCATAAGTGGGGTCAGCTAACATGAACCAAATTTGATTATTCCGTGTAGTTATCTCCTTCATCCCTTACGATCCAGTGCTTCATCCTTATGCAAATCCATACACTTCATATCCTTCCTTAACTCCTTCCAACCAAGTCATTTTCAGTCTCCCTCTCCCTCGTTTAACCCCTCCATGGTCCCACTCTTCCACTCTTCGCACCGGTGCACCTTCGGGTCTCCATCTTACATGTCCGAACAAGTCCTTTGAATTAATGGTTGCATACTACATTTTTATTGCATAAAACTGTGTACAAGATATTTAATTTACTCATTCTTTGATATTATGGACAATACCAGAATTACAGCCAAATATAAGTTTGAAATCAGTATTTAAAGTGCCTAGTAAGAAACTGAACATACCGCAATATCCTCAAATACAAGGCGTTGGTAGCGCTACTTCTTGTTTGGAGATTGTTGTGCTTGTGATTTTTCTATCACTTTGGCTCGAACTTTGTAAGCTTTAGTGCTTGGAGTTAGTTTGCCGAGTGAAGTTTGTTCTGGCTTCATGGTTAAACTGTGCATCAACATATACATACAATGCAAAACAGAAACGCTAAGTTAAGAAATGATATGGATATGACCAATGTGATATAATAATTGATTAGGCAGTGTTCATAGTGACATTTTTGCAAATGTTAGTGAACAATACTAACCTTTTTTTTGCACTGTACAGAGAGGAGAGAGAAAGAGTTGCCGGAGGCGCCGGTGACCCACCTCCCATAAACTCCAGCCGCCATCTTCCACCGCCTCCCCCTCGACAGGCGCCTATGCTTTCCTAGCCCCCTCCTCAGTGTGGTCGTCACCAGCCCATGGACCACGAAATTCTTCTTTGTTGTCATTTCTTGTATCAACTTTTCTTGGCCCCAATTTGATTTGCACTGTTCTTTATTTAGGAATTTGGGGATTGTAAAATTTAGTACTTCAATGGAGCTTATAATTGATAGGTATCAACTTTTCTTGGCCCCAATTTGATTTGTACTGTTCTTCATTTGGGAATTTAGGGATTGTAAAATCTAGTACTTCAATGGACGTGGTGAGAAGAGAGAGAAAATTTAAAAGTGCTCAAGGGGAACTTGTACTTGTTTAACGAAGCAATAATGGTGAACAGAGATGAACACACATGGAGAGGAGAGAGAGCTTAAGGATGGTGAACTTAGTGACGAGGCTGAGGAAATGCATACGTGTTGGCAGGAGAAGGTGTAAATTACTATGGGGTAATAAGGTAAATAAACAATTTAAAGAGTATAAAAGTCTGAGCACGGTTCATAAGAACAATCTTCTACTCTTTATAGGGTAGGGATATTTTGTATAATTCTTGTTACAACACGTTTTATGCGGCTAGTCACACCATGTGGCTGATTATAAAAGAACAAGATAACCCCTATTATACTATCTGAGTAACTCCTATAATACTGATTGGGTAACCCCTATAATGCTAATGAAGTAATCATCGTAACACTAACTGAATAACCATATAACATTGAAGAAGTAACCCTTGTAACATTGTCAAGTAACCCCTATAATACTACTCCCTCCGTCCCTTATTTACATGCCTATTTTCCTTTTGGGGTTTCAAAATCACATGCCTATTTCTATTTTAAGAATGTAATTTTTGACAATATTCTCTTTTTTTTTTAATGAGTTGTCATTAATTTATTTTTATTTTTTTTGTACTTTTGACATCATTTTCCAACATTTTATCTCTCCATCTCTTCAATAATTATCAACTAGCTTTTCTTTCTCTTTATCTCTTTCTAACCCCAAATGCATATTTGTAATTCTTTATCATGACTTTTAAGTTTCTTAATTCCCGTGTAAAATGAGATGTAGACATGTAAATAAGGGACGGAGGGAGTAACAATGTAACCCTTGAGAAGGCTAGCCACTTCGTGTGACCAGTCACATATAAGAAGTTGTATTCTGGCTATCTCTATAGTAATTTATAGATTAACTAGATTTAAACCGGTGTAAGAGTAAATATAATTTTTCTTCAAGTTTTGTTTAAATATCATTTTTATAGTACAATTATATATTTCGTATTTTTTATCATTATAATTCTCTTAGGTAAAATGAAAGAATCTATTAAACCGACACTTCTCACAAATCAAACCACCCTAACTCTCGCAAATTAATACTTGAGAATTGAAGGAGAAGGTAAGAGAATCCGTTGGTGGGATTCGAACCGCCGCCAATTATACATTAGTGGCGTATACTTTTCCCCAAGCATGCTTGGTTTTAAAAAAAAATAATACGGAGTAATAATGATCCAATAACTAATTTAGCCATTATGTTGTTGGGTTTCTTACAAGTATATATCCCCAACGCCCTGAACAATGGTACACTGCTGCTTAAGCCAACAACCTCTGTAATTAACCCAACAGATCAATGTTTGAAATTGTTCCGGAACCTTAATGCTACCACTTAGGTTACAAGCTCTCGTTACGTAAATCGCTAAATATCGCCCGCAAATCTCCATATAAAGCCCACAAATTTGTATTGAAGTGACCTTATTGCCCTTTTCGTTTTTAAAAAAAACCACTCTCTATATCTCTCTAAAAAAATCAGTAGGTCTACCTCTCTAAAAAAAATTTATTTACGACAATGTCGAGGCGGCAAGGGAAAGAGGTGGCGGCGGCGATGGCGGCGAAGGAAAGGCGGCGACTTGGTGGCAAGGTAATTATTTAAATATTTTTTTAAAAAAAAAAAAAATAAGCGGCGAAGGTGGGGCGCCTGAACTGGACGTCCACCCAGAGGCGGCGGTGCCGGGTCCGACAGCCAAAGCCGGTGGCGGGGCGTGTGGCTTGGAAGCCCAGCCACGGAGAGGCGTCCAAACCAGACGCCAGGCCATAGGCTCTGGCTGCCAGATCTAGCGCCTCCACCTATGGGTGGGCGTCCAGTTTAGGTGCCTACCCACTGCTATGGCTGCCGGATCTAACGCCACCGCCAGGGGGTGGGCGTCCTGGCTAGGCGCCCCACCTGCCGTATATAATTTTTTTAAAAAAAATTTATTTTTATTTTTTTTTTTAATTTTTGTAAATTAATTTTGTTTTTGGAAAATCAGAAATTTTGTGTTAATTTTAAATAATTTTGTTTTATGTCTAATTTTTTTTTTAATGTGTTTGATTTGTTTTTAATATTTATTAATTTTATGTGTTATTTTTTATAAATATAGTATATATATTTTTTATAAAATCAGATTAATTTTTTGTGTTAATGTTTAACTTTTTTATGTTTGATGTGTAAAAAAATTTTATGTCTTAATTTATGTAGTATGTGGAAATTCTTTGTGTTAATGTGTAATTGTTTTTTTTTTTTAAATGTGTAATACATTAGGGTATTATGTGTGTATTTGTGTATGTGTAATATATTTTAATTTTTTTTTGTTTTATTTTTTAAAATAATTTTTTTTATTTTGAAAATCAGAAATTTTGTTTTACCTTTAAATATTTTTGTTTTGTGTCCTATTTATTTTTTATGTGTTTGATTTTTTTTAATGTTTATTAACTTTATGTTTATAAACATGACGATATGTTGTAAGTGTTGGTATTTTGTATGTGTAGGTAGTTATTTATTTTTCTAAAAAACTTTTGTATGTTTATATATTTTTTAATTTTTTGAAGAATTCACTGGGTCGTTATGGTGCGGGGAAGAATCTAGACCTTCTTAGTAGAAGCTATTCAGTGGAGAGGTCGGGGCATAGACATGTTAGATCCCGTGGTATTTTGGCCTCGGCTCGTAGAGAACGGATCCACCGTCGGGATGAGGATGAAGATGATGATGTTGAGGAGGGTGACCAGGAGGAGGAGGAGGAGGAGGAGGACGCATATGAGGATGAGGATGTGGACGATGGGAGTGGACCGTATGATGATTATGGTCCATTCAGTCAGAGGGTTGATGACATGAACGAGACACATATGGTAGAGGTGCGTAAGGGTAGGGTTGGTAGGTTTGTTAGTAGATCTGGCACATCATCTGCGTCCACTGTGTCTGGGGTAAGCAGAAAACAGTCGAGGGCCGTTAATGATTCTTGGGTTGTTAGGAGTGAGGTGCCCGGTGGGCCTGTAGACAGGAGTGTGATTCCTAGCTTTCTAGGACACATAGCTACCCGTATTTGGGAGGACCAGGAGAGGCCTTCAGTGACGGGCTTGTTGAAATGTCATACACGGGAAAAGACTTGTAGTTTTTTGCGTACATGGGCTGAGGCTTGGCCGGTGGAGAGCGAGATGTTCGAGCGATTGCAGGGCACTGGGGTGAATCACGTTCTTGCCACTATTCACGATAAGATTGACACTACGCTGATCACGGCTTTCGTTGAGCGATGGCAGCCGGATACAAACTTTTTCCACCTTCCGTTCGGTGAGATGACGATAATGTTACATGACGTCGAGGCCATTCTTGGGATTTGTGTTGACGGTAAACGACTTTGTGCTGTGACTGATGCGGATCAGGCAGATTTGCTGGCGGAGTTGTTGGCGGTGGACAGGGATGCACTGTACACCGAGGCGCTTGTTGTTTGGGAACACGGCAGTGTGAAGATTGCATCCGTGTTGCAGCGGTGTTTGTACCCCAGTGCACGTAGGACGCACGCCGCACAGCTGGCTGCTTATGTTTTTCTACTCCTCGGATGTACCTTGTTTTCGGATAAGAGCGGCGGAAACAAGCTCAGGCCACGCGACATAGTTGAGGCGTGTGACCCCGGCAGTGTAGGCCAGTTTTCTTGGGGATCGACTACGTTGGCGTATTTGTATCGCCAACTAGGATTTGCGAGTCGGGCTAACGCGGCAGGTATCACTGGGTGTCTGACTTTATTGCAGACCTGGATATACGAGTATTTTCCTGCATTGCGACCACATCGTGACCCGGTTCCTATTGATGAGGGGATGCCGCGTGCTTGTGCGTGGAGTCCGCGATCGGAGAAGAAGTCCGTTGACCGCCTCCGATCGATACGGTTATTGCTTGACAGGATGTCCCCCTTAGAGGTAAAGTTTATAAATTATTTCTACAATTTTTCAGTAATGCATTTATTATATGAATGTTACTAAATTTTAAAATTATGTGCAGGCGAACTGGATGCCTTTCGGCTCGAACCCTAGTAATAGGGTACCCAGGACCCTGTACACGGGACTCATTCAGTATCGTGAGATCGTGGAGGCGTACATGCCCCAGCGTTGTCTTCGCCAGCTTGGATTTGTCCAAGTTGTCCCTCCTCCCCCGGCATGCCCGATGAAGGTGGTCCGCTATCTGGGGTTCCTCCCATGTGTGACCACTACTACATGGAATGGTTCAACCGGTATTCGCACCCGAGGTTGATTGCAGACCTCGACCACAGTGATGCTGATTATATGCCATCGCCTACTACCGTGGAAGCGGTATGTCTCATAAAACATTTATCGTTGTTTTTTTAATTAAGTTTTATATGTTGTTATTGTATTTCATGTTTTATTTTTTGTTGTATGTAGTGGATGGGAAAGATAATGCAAGACGTACAAAAACTCTATGTGGAGAAGGACAACATGAGTGCACCAGTGAGAGCTGTTGTTGATAGTTTGGAACAGACCTTTGCGCATTGGGAGTCGGCGTCCAAGAAGGATTACTGATGGTTTTGGCATTTTATTTGTAGAGCATTTTAAACATTATCATTTTAGTTTTTGAAATTGGACTTTATGTTTGCACTTCGCAGAATTTAACATTATGGTTTAAGTTTGTAACATTTTAGATTATTGTTTTCGCTTTCAACATTTGACAACATTGTCGTTGCTGTTTTTAAATTTTGACATTACCTTTCAACTTTGTAACGCGCAACTTACCCATGCAAGATATAAATGTAGTAAGCAATACAATATAAAAAATTAATGTTCTCATTAAAATAGCAACGTAAAAATAAGGTTACATAGAAACAATGTACACATGAAAAACTAAAAGGCAGCTAGGGTGCTCCATTCATGGATCCGGTCATGATATAGCGCATCCCAACCCTCTACGCTCGCTGTGCGAATGGTGTACCACCGAGGTATAATCGATGGCACAGGAAAATCGGATGACAGGTCTAGTCGGATGAAATGTCTGTATGACGACCCAAGAAAAGCAATAGCTACCTCTCTGACCGGTGTAGTGACAGTCTCACGCGAAGATCAAGGGAGAACCGTGGTACAAGGATAATAAGCTCGACTATGCAATCCCAGCCCGAAATGCATGACTGTTCACTTGTAAATGTTTGCAACGGCAAACAGGTCTAGTGGCGCGTTAAAATAATGATTTTGACCGCAAGGTCCACCTCCCCACCGGATACGCCGCAGAGCCCTATCCAAGTCATCCTGGTACACATGACGATAAACATCTCGGTTAGAGGCAATTTCGTTGTACATCAACTAACGCACTAAACCGTAGTTGTCTTCTCCCATTTGAAAAACATCAGCCACGACCCGAAATCCGCAATTACCATCTCCGACTACATCATTCCACCCTTCCAAGTACGACATGATTATGTTAGGTATCCTGTCCTTGTACGGAAACTAATCAATATCGTTTATTCCTATTCAACATATAATTAAACACAGTCAATAAGGCAGAAGTAACCTAAAAAACAATGTACAATGTAAATTAAAGTAAGCAACCGTACCAGTTCTCAGGGGCATATTCACAGACGAAGAAGAATGACTACGACTAGATGACGATGTCCGACAACGACCACGACCACGACCAAGACCACGGATGTACTCAAACGCACTCCTGTTCCGCCGTTGGCGACCTCGAGGACGCTCAACCCCTTCGGGTTCCTCATAATCTAAGCAAGACGTGTTGAACATGTCATAAAGTACATGAGTAGCGTCACAAATAATAGAAGG